GCGCGTGAGGCAGAGCCTAATGGTATAGCATTAATCAAGTAGATAAAAATTTATAACTAACGCATCTACTCCCTCGTATGTATGCCAACGGCTTCTAGAACATTGTGATTCTTCAAAAAATAGCGGAAAGTCACGTATATGCCTCAAAGTTGGTTTTTTGCACTGTATGGCAAAATATTGTAAACCCATGCTCAACAATGTCAAAAGTCCGTGTAGCTGTTGCTTTGTCCTCCCCGCATAAAAGCACAAAAAACTGTTGCGTTTTTTGAAGCAATTTAAAACTTACAAATGTGTATTTTAATCCATAAAGTTGATTTTATTACCTTGACACATGCTACTTATAAGATGGAGAAAATATAAGTAGACATGAGCTCGTAATAATAATAATAAAGACGGTTTTAATATCACGTTTCCGTAGATTTGAGTAGTCGATCCTTAGCATTGTCCAACCCTTTAATGATTCTTTATACTTCCAAACATGACTAAAAAAATGTAGATAAGTCGACACGGAGAACGCAATGTCCTTTTAAAACAAATTATTTCATTTTATTGTTGCTCCGCCTCACTATGGTGGCAGATAAATGTCAGAGAATGCAAAGTTGTTTAGAGTAAAGTAAAGTGATGCTTAATTTACAAAGCTGGTTTAGTGTCCCGATTCATGCTACTTATAAGTAGAACCGCATATAAGTAGGCATGTGACATCTGGATGCCAATACACAAGTATATAGAGAACGAGATGTTACTGTTAATGAAGTGCTGCTTAGCTTTAGTAATTACGAGAGGGTTGCAATAAGGCAGATGACACCAAGTGCGGAAACTAATGCTTGCTACTACATTCAAGTGTTGGAGGGAACATGATTGACATTAGCCTCGGTCACAGGGCAAAACTAACTCCTCGCCTCCTCACGAATTATGACTCGTGACTGCCACATTGTGCCGTCCTCTAACCGACCTTCACGAATCAGAGGCCTGAAAGGAGGAGAGGAAACGAAGAACGCGGACTCCGTTACGATCTTCTGTGTGATTGCATCAACAACTGGCTAACAGGGTACCAATAATCGTCGAAAGCAAGGTCAAAAATCCATTTCTGTTATAAGCAAAACTTAAAAAAAGCATTGATAAAGCCCAGAATTTTTAAGAAGCGATGAAAAGGAAATGATAAATCTCAAAGCCGATAACGTAAACCATAACAGGATCTACCAGCAATAAGGGCAAGTTGTTGATGCTGGTCTGTTATGCTGCCCTCATTTACGCGCAATCTTTGTCCATAAACAATCAGAGACACATTCTAGAAGAATCATTAACTTAATCGGCGAACCATATGATGCATTATTTAGGGGAAAAGATAATGACCACCACGGCAAATTATGCATTCGACAAGTACTTAGCCGTTATAGTTGGAAGGAGATGCCTCCTACCTTATTCACGGACAATTGCCTTTTCAGATGGCAAACCATCAACAAGATTAGGAGTTTTTGGCACCCACTATCCACTGCCACGAATATTACCATGTAATTTTTCTGTCGCCACTTATGGTAATTTTCTCAGATTCTCCGTTGCGCGTTTAGCTCCAGCTCATTCAAAGAAAGGCAGCCCCGCGAAGATCACCATTTTCATTAAGTACTGAGTGTTACCATAGAAACGTTGCATGTGGAAAAATTTTAGCACTTTTTATAATAAATCTAAGTGGTACTAGTATGCGATTTCAGATCTTGCAAAAAATGTTAATTCGAGTAACTTCAAAAAAGTAATTTTTAACGTGCCTCATTTCTTATATTGAAAGTTTTAATTTTTTTGCATCTAGAATAGGCTTGTGTGCATTTCATCAACTAATTTTCCTTACTATAAAGCTTAAGCGTCATTGGCATTTAGTTACAGTGCACCAGACAGCTGCTAAATATTTCGCCAGTGATGAAATAAATTTTCAAACAAGGGAGCATTTAGAAATCTTTCCTCAGTCTAACTTTTCTAAATTTGTACCTTCATTAGGTAATTAATCCATTAGGTATTGTTCCAATGGTTCCCACCTTCTGTATATTGATAAAAGTGCCTCCACAGA